CAAGTACTAGGCTTAACTTTAGGCTTGAACTGAGATCAAGAGATCAGGAGTCACATGCTCTATCAACTGAGTCAGCCAGGCACCCCAAGAAATGGTCATTTTATTTATTTTTTTATTTATTTATTTGACAGAGAGAGAGAGCATAAGTAGGCAGAGCAGCAGGCAGAGAGAGGGGGAAGCAGGCTCCCTGCTGAGCAGAGAGCCCGATGCAGGGCTCGATCCCAGGACCCTGAGATCATGACCTGAGCCAAAGGCAGAGGCTTAACCCACTGAGCCACCCAGGCACCCTAGAAATGGTCATTTTCAAAAGCGCTCCCTGGGAGGTACCTGACCAGCTCCATCAGTAGCGCACATGACTCTTGATCTCAGGGGTCATGAGTTCAAGGCTCATACTGGGCGTAGAGTTTAGTTTAAAAAAAAAGAAAAAAGAAAAAAGCTTCCTGAGCTGAGAAACCAGTGATGTAGACTGTGAACCCGCAAATATTCACTGTTCTTTGAATTCAATTTACAATGAGCTGAACAGGTATATTACAAATGGACCTATTATTTCTTCCTTTAAGAAACTGTGGTGGTAAATCAGCAAAGGGCTGAAGGTTTATTTTTTTTTTAATTTTATTTATTATTTGACAGAGAGAGATCACAAGTAGACAGAGAGGCAGGCAGAGAGAGAGAGAGAGGGAAGCAGGCTCCCTGCTGAGCAGAGAGCCCGATGCGGGACTCGATCCCAGGACCCTGAGATCATGACCTGAGCCGAAGGCAGCGGCTTAACCCACTGAGCCACCCAGGCGCCCAGGGCTGAAGGTTTAAACAGTTTGGGGAGAAACAGTTTGGGGAGATAATGAACATATGAAATTAAACTGTTTAGAACCTGGGGCTCGTGGGTTGTGCCAATCAGTTGAGTGTCCCACTTAGTTTCGGCTTAGGACATGATCTCAGGGCGGTGAGGTTGGGCTTTGCGCTCAGTGCGGAGTCTGCTTAAGATTCTTTCCCTTTCCTCTTCCACTTCCCTCTGCACTCTTTCTCTCTCTCAAATAAATAAATCTTTTTTAAAAAAAAGAACTGTTTAGAATCTTAAGACATGACACCGTTGAAGGGTTCCAGTTAGAGAAAAATCAAGTTACTGATAATTATGGCAATATATTTTAGGTAACACTTTTGGAAGACTGCCTCTTTATTTATCAAGGCTTTGGGGGGAAGCAGGTTAAATGCATCCTATAATATTAGTATAGAATACATTCTATTGAACAGACCATCCATGGAAACCTCTGGGAAGGTGAAGAGAAGGCCAGATCTTCCGTTTCATTGCAATCTTTTATGTATTAGTGACTAAATAATTTCCCTTATTTCCAATATTAGATACTTGAAAAAGTTAATGGAAGTGGAAGAAAAAAGGTTAAATTTACTAACCTCCATTTATTCAAGGAGCCATCCTTCTGAGGGCTCATTTCAGAGATTATGAACTCACATCCCATCAGGGACTGGTCATACGCTGACTTTACATTAATGCAAATTAAAAACAATTTTGTTATTTTAAACAAGCCTGTGGGCTGAATTTGCCTGTGGGTAACTAACTTACAATATCTGAATTTGTAACATTATATATTTCATTGATATAATACATATGCCATAAATGCACCCCTTTAAAGTGTGTAATTCAGTGGGTTTTAGTATATTCACCGAGTTGTACATTTACCACTAATTCTAGAACATTTTCATCACACACACCCCCCCCCCCCCGGCGCCAAAACCTCGTACGCATTAGCAATTTCTTCTCTGTTCCCTTCCCCGCCAGCCCAGACTCAGGCAACTAATAACCATTTGTCCCTCTATGAATTTCCTTATTTTGGGCATTTCCTGTAAGTGGGATCACACGATATGTGGCTTTTGTGTCCTTTTTTCACTTTGTATAGTTTCTAAGGCTCAATCATGTTACAACATGGATGTTATCAGTGCTTTATTCATTCTTATAGCTGAATAATATTCAACCGTATGGCTATACCACCTTTGATTTGTCCATTCATCAACAGCTTGTTTCCTCTTTTTTGGCTATTATGAATGATGGCATGAACACTCATGTACAATGACTTCTGAATTTAAATTCAGAAATTTAGATTTTTTTTTTAGGTAGTCTCCATGCCCAGCATGGAGCCCAACGTAGGGCTTAACCTCACCATCCTGAGATCAAGACCTGGGCTGAGATCAGGCACCCCTTAAATTAGATTTATAAACAACTAATACATTAACATGGTTCAAGATTACATATGCTAACAATTAATGTAGTTCAAATAGATCTAAACAGTGAAAAGGTTTTTCATACCCTTGTCTCCCACATGTCCGATTATCACTACTTTCTGTCCTAAGTAAACACTATTAACAGCTCCTTAAGATGTCCTCACAGCATAGGCAAACATCCTAGCTTTTCTTTTAATAAAAGGAGCACACTTACGCACTCCTCTGCACCTTGCTTTCATTTTTTCCTGGATAGTTTCCATGTTTCTACAGTATCTTTTTTTTTTCCAAAAGATTTTATTTATTTATTTGACAGACAGAGGCAGAGAGGCAGGCAGAGAGAGGAGAAAGCAGGCTCCCTGTGGAGCAGAGAGCCTGACATGGGGCTCGATCCCAGGACTCCAGGATCATGACCTGAGCCAAAGGCAGAGGCTTTAACCCACTGAGCCACCCGGTGCCCCAGTATCATTCTTTTCTAAAGCTACACATATTGTTCTGTGATTGTACCAATTTAATTTTTTTATTTAACATTTTAACATTTTATTTTCATGTAATTTTTATACCCAACATGGGGCTTGAACTCACAACCCTAACATTGTTAAGAGTAGTACACTCCACCAACGGAGCCAGCCAGGCACCCCTTGAGCAACCTGTTTTGAACCTACCTTCTGCTTCTCAGAGTATTTATCTTTATAGTCCCCACACATAATTTAATGGGTCATTTTCACTAAATGGGATTTAAAGGAAAACCTCAGGAAATACTTTTGAGAGTTTTTTCTCTATGGTGTTTAGCGTATCTAGTATTTTATCATAAACAGGAATTAAGAGAAGTACCTATATAAAGTACAGGCCAAGTAGTAATCGAGTCGATTTAAAAGTCAGTTTTCAGGGTGCCTGGCCAGCTCAGTCGAAGTATGTGACTCTTGATCTCAGGGTTGTGAGTTTGGGTCCCACACTGGGTTTAGAGATTACTTTAAAAAAACGAAATCTTTTTAAAAAAGGTTTTTAACAGTTATTATTTTTTATTATAGTAAGCTCTTTGCCCAACATGGGGCTCAAACTCACAAGCCTGAGATCAAGAGCTGCAGGTTCTGCCAACCGAGCCAGCCAGGTGCCCTCAGAGTCACTCAGTTTTCCAACTATTACGTGACCTCATGAAAGTTGTCAGGAAAAAAAAAAAGTTGTTAGGTTGCAAAAACAAACATCAAGCAGACTTCATTATTTCAGTATTTTTAGTTAAAATACGCTATGAAAGTTAGTAAAAAATAATTTCTGGAATCCTTCTACACTGTTGGTAGGAACGTAAAATGGTACAGTCACTATGGAAAACAGTGTGGACATTCCTTAAAAAACTAAAAGAATTACTCTAGGATTCAATAATCCCACTTCGGGGTATTTACACAGAAGAATGGAAATCAGGATCTCAAAGAACTATCTACACTCCCATGTTCACCACAGCAGTATTCACAACATCCAAGATATGGAAATAGCCCAAAAGTCCATCAACAGATGAATGGATAAAAAAATGTGATGTGTGTGTGTGTTGTGTGTGTGTGTGTACACACACACACACACAACACACACACACACACCACACACACACAAACTGAAATATTATTTAGCCTCAAAAAAGGAGGAAACCCTGCCATTTGCAACAACATCACTAGACCTGGAAGATATTATGTTAAGTGAAATAAGCCATACACGGAAAGACAAATACACATAATCTCACTTATGTGTGGAATAAAAAAAGGAAACAAAAATGTCAAACTCACAGTAATAGAGGATAGGTTGGTGGTTACCAGGGATTGGGGGAAAGCAGAGTTGCTGTTCAATAGCTTTAGTTAGTTATGTAAGAAGAGTAAATTCAAGACATGTGCTGTCTAATGTGCTGTCTACAATTAACAACATGGTACTGTGCGCTTAAAAATGCATTAGGAGGGTAGATCTCATGTTAAGCATTCTTACCATACACACACACAAAACAAAGGGACACAAGGAAACGTGTGGAGGGGATGGATTTGTTTATTACCATGATTGTGGTGATGGTATAATGGGTGTTGGCATATGTCCCAACTCCTCAAAGTGTATACATTAAATATGTGCAGTTCTCTGTGTATCAATTTTATAGCTCATTAAAGCTGTAAAAATAGTGTTTGTACTTCTATTTACCATTAGGTAGACACTATGAGTTAAATGCTACCTATTCTACCATCAGTGCTGTTAGTTTCTGGGCTAGGACATTTTTTTCTGCTGGTTTCTCATAAATACCTAGCATTTTTCATTCCCAACATGATACAAAACACTCAGAAAGCAAAGAATTAAGTTTGGGCGTTTCAAAAGAAACACTAAAAATTCTAAGATATTGTTACAGAAGCAAAGATGCATTTACTTCTTTTACAGATTAACTAAAGAACAAAAGATTGAAGTTTTGGCCATCAGGTTGAGAGAATAATGGCACACTTGACTCCATCAGCAAACCCAGACAGAACAGAAAGAAACCAGTAGAAAGGCATGGTTAGCACAAGAGGCCCTAAGTGATCATGATTTCTGACCTCACCGGTTATTTTCTGGAAGCTGAGATGGAACAGTGTAGTCTTTTCCAATAGAATGACTAAGGTGCTCACCATTTCAGAAACTACTTCTTAGGCTCTTGGTTAGTTTCAGAGTGTGCCTGATCAAGTGCTAAGAGCTGAGCTTTAGGTTTCCTGAAACATCCTTCTGGATTTAACCTTGATTTTAAGTTCTAGTCTATAAATGAGAAATGCAAGTAAGAATGAGGGGTCAATTTATTTTAAGTCATTTTACCATTAAATACCAATATGCACAGTTCCAAACATTTATAAATATTTCAATTTATAGAAAATGGAATCTTAAAATTATCTGAACAGTGATTTAACAATTATTTACAATTAACTGATTTTGTAGAAACATAATTATGTTTAAAAGTACCCTCATCACAAAGTAATAATTTCACAGTACCTTTCTATAATATTTTTGTCACTCAAGGGGCAGCTGCACCAATAAAACCCAAGTAGATTGAATAATTTAGAAACAGCATAATCAGAACCGCAAATGCAAGCCACCATTTACGCCAAACAAAACAAGACCTTTTATACTAATATATAAATATTTCCCCATTTTCAGCACTGGTTGAAGAAAATATTAGGAGATAGTATTTTATTTGTAGTAAACAGAAATTAATTTTAGGATTTTAAAAAATTGACATTAAGATGCTGGATTAGGTAGGTTTTTATAACATGTAATACTATTTTGAGAAGTTCTTGGTTTCACTGGAAGCCATTTCTAATTGCAAACCTTTCTTCAGTTGTATTAGGACAGTAATGGAGATAAGTCTCTGTGATCCCAAATAGAAATTATAATTGCTTACAAGCAACTAATAACACATTTGGATACAAAGAGATTCTTGGCTTTATTCCTAAGGTTTTCTTCTATTTCAGTGTTTAACCTTTTTTGCTATCCCTTCTAAACAATCCCAAATATTTCTAAAATTGTGTCAAAGGAAGATAACTTTATATGGACTAGTGCTTGTTTGAAAACAATATTTACCATAGTATTCCACAATTTTGTCTTTTTCCTTTTTTTTAAAGACATATATCCAGCTAAAACAATTAAATAAAAAGGTAAGGTATAAGAAATATAGCTGAAGTCACGATAAAGTACATTTTCTTTTATTGACTAAGAACATAAACTTTAAATGCTGGCTCTCTTAAGAAAAAGTTTCTCCTTGTAAATATGCGTAACCGTTGCCCAAAAATGTATACAGTGATTTCCCCAAAATATTTATACACACAGTGGTCCACTTAAGACCAGCCCCATTATAACCTACTGAATACAATGTGCTCTGAATTTATAAATGGGCTACCCTCTGTATATAAAATATATAGGCATGTATGTTAGACATACAAGTAAGAAATATAAAAAGGAGAGATGAAAAGAAAAAGTGTTCTTCCCTGTAAGATCCAGACAGATATTCAGTGTTATTAGTGAGATCATGTAAAATGTACTCTTGATTTATAAATGGGCTGCCCTCACTATATAAAATATATATAGGCATGTATGTTATACATACAAAGTGAAAAATATAAAAAGGAGAGATGAAAAAAGAAAGGAAAAAGTGTCCTTCCCTAGAAGATCCAGACAGCAATTCAGTGAATGAGTGAGACCACGTAAAGTATCTGAAGAATTTCAGTTTTGGCAAATACCTTTCTGGAAAATGTCTAAGCTATGAGAGTACTCAATTTGCATTTTAAGAATTCCACAGAGGTGTCCATTTAACCATTAGGGGAAGATGTTGTGGCCTCCTTAACATGCAGAAAAAAGGACTTTTAGGACTGTTAAAAAGAAATGGAACAAAAAGCCACTCATTTTTAGCTGGTTAGTAATCACCCCTTAGTCAAGTGTATGTAGTGCAGAGAACCAAATCCTAGACCATCATCAGCGTTTGAGTGTGTTTGATGAAAGGTTCCAATGAAATGAAGGACCTGAATTCTTCCTAGATCTCATAGGGAATGGGGCAGGACACGATAGCAAAGGAGGGGTCAGCCCCCAAGGTGGCTGGTCCAATCTTAACTCATGATGTTAAAAAACACACCAAATGTTTCTATAGCATTCTTTCTGCTGCATTTTCTTTATTTCAAGCCACAGGTCTACTTGGAGGGTCATGCAGCAAGTGGCTTATAAATAAAATCAGAGTCTATGAATAGTGTCATCACATTAAGAGATAATCGCTGGATTCTCTCATTAGGCAAAGAACTCGCATCTTTGGAATCCGTGAGTTGGTATCATTTATGGGATACCTAAAACGAGGGACAAAAACCACATGTATCAGTAACAACATACACGCAATTTATGAGTTGAGGCAATGAAGACTATTCAATCATTTGAGCTACACATTCCACATTATTTCTAAATACTGGCTTCAGTTAAAATGCAAACAAATATAACTAGGCCAATTCCAAAATTAGCAAATATTAACACTATTGTTAATTGTTTATCAAGGCAAGCGATTCCCACTGTTCTCAAATCTCAGCATATGTTACCAAGAGAGAGAACCTAAAGATGGTAATCCTATCCATTTGGGAGCCTAGGAATTTAGACACATAACGTATCCCTTAGCTTAGAGATAAGCTATATGGCAAAATTCTGATAGAGAGTAGAACTTTTCATCCTCATGGTACCAAGGAGGAAACAGGAGGAAAAAAATCACTGAAAACATTCAGTTGCAATATTTTCTCCCCTTTCCAAACCATCATTATGTAGCCAAAAAAAAAACAACTCAGGATAATGAAAAAATGATATAGCTTTTGCTAAAACAAGTCATAAGTTTCTTTGTATATGTGCTGCCGAAGCGAGCACTGTAAGTTTCTTTGTAAACCTAAATGACTTATTTTTGGATTATCAGAATATTTGGAAAATATTTTTGGATATTCATTTTGGAGATTTTGGAAAATTACAATATTTGTACTTTTCCACCAAACATTCCCAAGAAGCAGAAAGAAAAAAGACATCTGTAAATTCTGTATAGACTTATGCATCCAGAGTCCTTCATAAGGTGAAAGCACTAATACCAACATAAGGTATTGTTTTTATGAAAGCAGATTTGAATAAACTGATCCCAAATATGAAGGATATGGAAAATGGTAGTCTAGTTTTAAGCTCTCAGGCAAGTAACTCATATTTTATCATTAAAAGATAATCTAGTGTTCTGCTACTGTAAATACTTTTCATTCCAAATTTACATATAGCTCTAAATTAATGACGTCAAGTTAAGGCTTGCCAGATTTCTACAATCAGATGTTCCTTCCATTATCAATAAAGTTTACATTTTACATGTTAAACCCAGGTCAACATCTAATTAATTATGAGAAATAATTGAACTCTTTCTCTAATTATGAAGATTATGAAAAAATTATGAAAAAAACATTTCACTTTCTTGGTAACATATGGGACAAGTCATTGCCATGTAAGCTCTTAAGCCTCAATTGGAAGAAAAATTGAGCTATCATCAGGAAAAGCTCCCCAGAACGATTATTACTTTTAAATTATCACAGGTTATGCAATGTATTTCATAACATGCTAAGTAGTTTTATTTTTCTAATGAGCAGAAATTAATGTGCAAAAAATACTTCAGTTTTAAGTCTAACTCTTATTATTTTAGCAATCATTTTTAAAACTTCATCTCACAAAATATACTCTTTTAACTAAAATAAAAGAGACTATATATGTTCCCCGATTTTAGAGTTTTCCAGAGACTCTGCTAACATACTCTCGAGGAAACTTAACCAGAACTGAAATACTTAGACTCACATAGCAAGTTTTCTTAAGTTTGGAGAACTTATGTACGTTTGAGAGCCAATTAAATTGTCAAAAAATTATGTTTTTTTGACATTCATCTGTCACTCTGAAAGTCCTTTCATGTAAGCTTTCACAGCACTACTTTCACTTCTGCTTCCTACCACAGCTGACAGCAGAAGGTAGCCCCTCAAAGAAACTGTCATTTACTAACAATAAAAGAATTAAGCAGAGCCACAGTCCTCAATTCTGACTGCTCTGAAAGATTAATTGGTCTAACAAATTAGACCTTTCATGGATTTTCCAGGTTCCTAAGCACAGGAAGAACGAAAAACACTAAACATTTTCTGCCAAGTTATACACAAATACATTAGTGCTAACTAATAAAATTGTCTAATTTAAAGAGTAACTGACCTGAGATGTACCTTGCTCCGATTAACATTACCATGCTACTCACTATAAAAAAGCCCAAGGGTAGACTACAGAAGATACTAGGGTCACCTGTGGTCATCCAAGTAGAAGGGAATTCCAGTCAAGCAAACCAAAAGAGAGACACATAATTACAATATTTGTGTTAAGAATCACATGACAGCAAAACAAAATAAGTTATAAAAATAGTATATTCATAAAAGCTAGCAGAGTTATTACTTCAAATCAAAAATATAATCAATCTTGAAGGCTTATGACAGTTAACAAACAATACAGATAGCATGCCACAGGTAGCCAAGAACATAATACATATATAAACCCACATAAGCCTTCCACTGGCAAAGCTGAAGAGAGTTGATGGAGAACTTTTTGGGAGGCTGTTGATTTTCGCTTTTTTAATTCTTACCCCAAAGATACTAAATGAGCAACCCAATTCAAAGTAGAGATCCTTTAGCTATCAGAGAAGAGTTATACTGGTCTAGTGAAAATGAACTTCAAAGGCTATTTTTGCTAAAATAATTGGTTTTGTTTTCTTTTTTAACCAGAATGTGCTATGTAAGGAAATGCACCTCACAATTACTATTACTGCCCCCCCCAATTACAGGGGTGCCTGACTGGCTCAGTCTATGGAGTGTCCGATTCTTGATCTCAGGGTTGTGGGTTTGAGTCCCATGCTGAGTGCAGAGATTACTTAAAAATAAAATCTTAAAAACTAAACTGTATGAATCCATATATTTTTAAAAAGATTTTATATATGGTATTTGAGAAGACAGACAGGGCACAAGCAGGGGGAGGGGCAGAGGGAGAGGAAGCAGCAGACTCCTCACTGAGTGTGGAGCCCCATGAAGGGCTCTGATCCCAGAACCCTGAGATCATGACCTGAGCTGAAGGTAGGCACTGAACTGACTGAGCCACCTAGGCAGACTCGAATTTTTTTAAATCCACCTATGTATGTAAACTACACCCAACATGGGGCTCAAACTCATGACCCCAAGGTCAAGAGTTGCAAGCTCTACGGACTAAGCTAGCCAGGAGCCCCATGAATCCACATTTTTAAAAAACTGCCTGAAAATATGGTTGTGCTGGTATTTTCTAACCTAACTTCTGTCAAAATCCCTTCCTTTAAAGAATATTCTTTATGTACATATGGTATTCTTGAATTTTAAAATTATATATTTATATTATTTAATGTTCTTTAAAAAAGAAACATTCAAAATTAACCTCCAAGTTTTAAGAATATACAACCACTGGGGCACCTGGGTGGCTCAGTGGGTTAAGGCCTCTGTCTTCGGCTCGGGACATGATCCTAGGGTCCTGGGATCGAGCCCCACATCAGGCTCTCTGCTCAGCAGGAAGCCGGCTTCCTCCTTTCTCTCTCTCTGCCTGTTTCTCTGCCTACTTGTCATCTCTGTCTGTTAAATAAATAAAATATTTAAAAAAAAAAAAAGAATATACAACCACTGGATGAAAAGGCTTCACTGAAATGCAGCTAGTTATTTGCTATGGGCATAGTTTTTGATACAATAAACTAATGATAGTCATTTATTTGCCTTTTTGGGAGAGGATTTTTTTTCCCTTTACCACATATTTCTTTGCCTTAGAAGGCAGATTAAAAGAGGCATATAAACGATTTTCCTCCATTTTACCACTGCTTATATTATTTTTCAGATAAAACCAAGGTTTCTTTTTGTTTCCATATTTGTAGAGACCACATTTTGATTTGATTTTCAGAAAGGGAACATATATTCTTATTCTTTCAGAGCAAGGTATCAGTTACACTAAGTTCTTTGTTTTTGTTTTCTTCCAGTTAGGCTAAGTTCTAATCACTAATTTCCAGATATGGCTACAGCGAGTTTTAGTTTGCAAAGAAGACCCTGAGGACAACCTGCATTCACAAGTCCCCACCAAATTAGTTGGTATTAATTAATTATTAATCATTATTAATTATTAATTTTAAATTTAATTAATTTAAATTAATTTTTTAAATTTGTGTTGTATCATATGTATTTTTTTTCTCGTGTTCAGTTAGGCAACAGGTGGCATTTATTTAATGAAAATATATCCCTTTTGGTCACACACACACACACACACACACACTCACACACACACGTTATTTGCTAGCTGTGCATTTTAAACCAATTTGACCTGTTTCCAAAATGTTGTTTTGGTGTGTCTAGAGTGCAAAGCCAAGCTTATCATCTATGATGAGCTCTCTCTAAAAAGTATCAGACCCCCAATCACTTCTACAACATTTTAAACATGTGTCAAAATGTGTATTAAAAATTATTTACAAAATATTCAAATATAGTTAGAAATAAGAAAATAAATATGACTGATTGGCGAACTGTTTTGGAAATTAAGCTAACATAGTGTTTTCCTTAAAAATTAAAGCAATTTAAGGAGCACGAAAGACCAGGTAGCAATCCTAATATCCTTTCAAGATTATTAAAATAGGATTCTATCTGTACTGCTACTGTTATATATAGTTTACACTGCTTAAAGAAATACAATAAGCATGTCACTAATTGAATATAATTCCAAGTTTATTATAGAGCCTAGAGACTCAATATTATACATTAGAGTGTTTCAAAAATCTACTAAAAAATGTCTTCAAACTCTTAAATGCACTGCAGTCTGAAACAAAAACAAAATGTGAAAAATCTAAAACTCAACAGCAGAAACTAAAGAAATCGTGCAATTTTCTTTCATTAATTTTTTCTTATGTTTTAAATTCACTGAGAGTAAGGTAGACAAACAAACTGAAAATGACCAATTGGTTTTATGGGAATTTTGCAATTAAAATTTGATCTTCAACTGCTAGCTAGTAAGAAGTGTGTGTGTGTGTGTGTGTGTGTGTGTGTGTGTGTGTGTGTGTCACACTGGGTGCAGGGAGGGACAAAGGGATGACTGTGCCATTTAAAAAAAAATCCACCAAGTCAACGAAAACAGGACTCCACTGCTCATTAGCCATTGATTAAGGGCAACTAGAAAATAAATCAGGGTCCACGTTGTTGTATCTTGCAAGCAACTAGCACCAGGCTAGGAGAACTTATGATCAAGAAGTTTTGTTATAAAGGGTCTCAAAATCACAAAAGATCTTAGTAAGAAAAGCTTTGCCACCAACTTGGAAAGAAAACTAAACAGAACTAAAGATTTAAAGAAAAAAGATATTAAGCTTATTTCGGAGGAAAAAAAGCTTCAGGTAGGAACATCCAGGACTAAAAATACAGATCAGTGATCTGTCGTAATGGATGGTTCCAGAAGTATCTCCCAAAAGCCAAATACATTAAAAGTAATTCTATATTCAATTTTGGGTTGGAAGGCAGGTAATATTTAATTTATAAACTCTTCTCTATTAAAGTGTATATTTCTGTACATTATTGGACATTGTTCTATTTATTACATTCTAAATCTTCACTTAGCAAAGAATTTAAATATTATGGCATATTAAAGGCATGTTTAAGTCTGTTTAATCATCAAGTGCATAGTAAAGGCAGCTTAAGGCTGTCTATGACTGAATGGTTTACTTAAGCCCAATACCTTCCTACTTAAGTGACTGAAAAAAATAGTTCTCTATTTTCCGCCAAGACTATTTCCCAATCTATTATGATACTTCTAATTTACTATTTGGTACATTTCTTCCTCTCTGACTCCAATGAGTTCTCATAATGTACATTCACTAAGAACTTGGAAATCAGCCTAGGAAGTAGAGAAATATATTCTGAAATTAACCTAAGTTTTGGTTGGTTCAGGCTATGAAGACAGCCCCCCAAAAAGGTAAAAGGAGACACTTAAGTGAAAAAAAAAAATAAAAAAAGGAAAACTCTGATTTTCTTTTTCATTGAGAAGAAAGAAATAATTTTAATTTTAGAAAGCTCAGTTACCCACTGAAGTACCAGGAAACTAATAAGGAAAAGAGAGGGCAGGATAGAATTAAGTATGTATCTATCTCATAGTTTACATTTTATGTTTAGAACTTTAAAGTGTTTTCAAAATGTTAGAAACTCTGGACATATGATAATGCTTTTCTTCAGAGCAGCCTTACTAAGTGTAAATGGTTAGATACTTAAAGAAGTTAATTAACATACTAGGGCAAAGCACAAGAATAATAAAAACATTTTTACCACTTTCTGAAGACTGAGTTGTAACCCAGCCCACTGACTTCATCACAGCTTTCTTCCATGTAGAGTAACGAATTTCACTTTCTAGAAATAGAAGGTAGGAAAAACACACATCTGAAAAGTAGTTTACAGAGATAGTCTAAGCACCGTACTTATGTTCACTCAGCATTTTCAACAAATTGTGACGCATTCAACTGGCATGGGGCTTTACCAGAACTCGGGTTTGGGAGAGATACCTACCGGAAAATGGAGGGGAAATTCAGCGTCGCATGCAGGGTAAAGGGAGACTGGGAGCCAGGCTATCTATGAAGACCAGGCAGGCCATTCACAAACAAGTGGTGATGGATTAGAAAGGGATTCCCATTGGATCTATTTGCTCATTCTTGTGGGAAGGAAGCAGGGGAAGCTTGGGGTACAGGGAAGGGGTATACCATAATGTGGAAAGACTAGAAGAAGAATTATTAGTCCATCTAGTCAAAGGACTTAACAAATATTGATTTCTCACAAGATTCAAACTGCATGAGACAGGATTTTTTTTTTTTTAACCATGGAAATCCACAGTAAGAGGACTAAATAAAAACAGGCACCACTGGTGTGTCCATCCACATGTACTCCTCCTAGTAACAGCGAGGCATGGAGGAAGGTATCCCTGTCAGGCTTCCTGGTCTTTCCACAGCACCTGAAGCCTGTGACACCTGGGCAACACTGCTCCAGCATCACTCACTTCAGAAAGCTTTCCAGGGCCCCACTTATGTCCCTCCTCGGTCTTCCCACAGCACTTCCCACACATCTGAGGCTATGAGCCACCACAGTGAACTGTCATGGCCTTATCTGCCTCTCCCAATATACATGAGTCTCCTGAAGGGCATCTCTATATTCCCACATCAGGTCAATTTCTGGCCTGTACGGGGCTCTAACAGAAGTTTGCTAGAGAATGAATTATTTATACCTAGGTACCCATCTAACACGTGTGTGTTTGTGTGTATGTGTGTGTTATGCGGAGAGGAGTGGGGCTGTTGAAGGGAAGGACAGATGACATGATTGACCAACTCTGGGCTAAGGCCTTAAAAAAAGGCAAAGAAGGCTATCCTCAGAAATCAGGAAACACTTCTGCACAAAACTTCCTTGCTTTAAGAATGGGATTAGCATCGCGAGACCATATACTCACTCTAAACGTTGTTTATTTTAAAAAATTCATTTTTTTCCAGTGGTAGAAAATTTTTGGAGCCCCATTTATTCCAATATTAAAAAGTAAAAATTACTTACAGATAGAGTATCAGATTTTGAAATACATTTCTACATCAAGTTACATGGTATACTCTCTGACTGTAAAATTACTAGTGTTACAATCTACTTTCCTGCATGTGGGAAGGACTAAAATTAAGCAGTGCTGGCTTAGTCTTCCAGAAAATTAAAGAGAAAAGCATTTGAAAGCTTATTTCCCAGTAGTGCAAAGTCTACTTTGATGCAATTTTATACACAGGTTTTTAAAAAGTTATAAAATCAAATTCAATATATATAAAGCCTTATTTTTGTATTCATATTTATTTCCGTTTAAGAAATGCACCACTGGGGGAAAAAATGCCACCACCGTATTTTAATAAGGTGTTGGTCAGAGCCTGTGGCTTAGCTTAGCTGGTTAGGGCAGTGAATCGGGTATTTGAGGCTCATTTATTCACACGGTTGCCACTTAGGCCCGGCTAATCATGTGTTAAAACTAGCTGGCAGCCTCCCCAACATCTGTCATTTCCTGATTTGTTAATTTTAGCCATTCTGACTGGTGTGAGGTGGTATCTAGGGGAGCCCTCCTACACTGTTGGGAGAATGCAAGCTGGTGCAGCCACTCTGGAAAACAGCATGAAGGTTCCTCAAAAAGTTGAAAATAGAGCTACCCTATGACCCAGCAATTGCACTACTGGTATTTACCCTAAAGATACAAACGTAGTGATCCAAAGGGGCATGTGCACCCGAATGTATATAGCAGCAATGTCTACAATAGCCAAACTATGGAAAGAACCTAGATGTCCATCAACAGATGAATGGATAAAGAAGATGTGGTATTTAAAAAAAAAAAAAAAGATGTGGTATATATCTACAATGGAATACTATGCAGCTGTCAAAAAACTCCATGAAATCTTGCCATTTGCAGTGACGTGGATGGAACTAGAGGATATTATGCTGAGCAAAGTAAGTCAATCAGAGAAAGACAATTAACATATGATCTCTCTGATATGAGGAAGCTGAGAAATAAGACAGAGAATCATAGGGGAAGGGAGGGGAAAATGAAACAAGATGGGATCCGGAGGGAGACAAACCATAAGAGACTCTTAATCTCACAAAACAAAGTGAGGGTTCTGGGGCAGTGGAGGGGGGAATGGGGTGGCTGGGGGATGGACACTGGGGAGGGTATGTACTATGATGAGTGCTGTGAATTGTCTAAGACTGGTGAACCACAGACCTGTACTCCTGAAACAAATAATACATTATATGTTAATAAGAAAATTTTAAAAAATAAGAATTAAAGAAAATACAACAAACCAAGGGCTCCTCAAAAACAAAAACAAACAAACAAAAAAAAAACCCTGGCAGGCACCAAAGACGTTCAGCTCCGTGGCTCATCTATCTCCCTTCTTAGTTTAAAAAAGGCTGTGTTAGCAAGCTAGAAGCAGTGTTATCCTTCTGCATGAAATGACTGTAAACAGAAGTGAATGGCAAAAAGTGATTTTGGAAGTTTTTTTAATAAGAAGAAACTATTCATATGCAATATACCCCCAATATTCTTAGTAACCAATCTAAAACAGTAGCATTTGCTATTTTACTTAGTTTCTGAACTCATATATAAACAGAAAGGCAAACTCTCTCTCCTTTCCATGGTATACCATTACATTTAAATTTTAAAAGTAATTTTATTTTTCAGTCATCTCTCCACCCAACATGGAACTCAAACCAATGACCGCAAGATCAAGAGGTGCGTGTTTCTCTACTGACTGAGCCAGTTGGGCCCCCCTAAGTTTTCATTTTTTGAACATACCTTCAGCATTGATCTGTGGTTCAAACCGCTCCATTGTGACCGCTGACAGATCCTCAGGTTCGAGACTCCAAACGCCAACTCCTTCTGCGGCCCCCGCCGCCATGGCCGCTCCCAGGGCAGTTGTTTCAGGCATTGAAGGCTTCACTGAGGGAAGATGGCAATATCAACATCTTTGCAGTTACATATGCCTAAAAATACCAGTTCTTCTGAAAGAAACATTACCCTCAGAATGTAAAGGAATGAAGGCTTACTAACCTACTGGAATATACAGAATGTCTGCCTGCAGCTGCATAAGAATTTTGTTGTTGGTCATTCCTCCGTCTACCTGCAAATGACTGAGTGGAATTCCACAGTCGCGGTTCATGGCATCCAAAATCTTAAATAAAACAATGCAATAAATGTAATTAAACTACTGCTCCATGGTGACATCTCTGAAAATGGCAGTCTTCTACCCAAAAACCCTGAAGAGCTTCCCAAAGCCTATAGAATCAAATTTAGATTTTTAAAAAAATTTTTTAATAAATGTATTTATTTATTTATTTATTTGATACAGAGAGAATACAAATAGAGCGGTGGGCAAAGGGAGAGGAAGAAGCAGGCTCTCCACTGAGCAGGGAACCCAACACACAGCTCAATACTGGGACCCTGGGATCACAACCTGAGCCAAAGGCAGCCGCTTAAGCAACTGAGCCACCCAGGCGCCCCTCAAATTTAGATGTCTTATTCTGGTCTTCTAAGCCTTCCTTCATATATTATACCACCTTTCTTCCTCACTACACCTCTGCCCTCACGCGAAGAGCCAGCCACGCCCAAAACCCCAACTTTGCACCCTGGTTGCTTACCTTGATGCCTATGTTTGTGCTACTATTTCCTTTACCTAACATTTTCTACTCAATATCCCCCCAAGTGTAAAACACTCAGCCCCTGGCAGTTGACAGGAACTCAGAAGGTCATGACAGCTATGAAAAAGGGGAGAAACTTGTATTTATTAGAAGAGACCTTAGGAAGGCTTAATTTTTTATTAGGTATTTAATAATGAAGCATGTAATAAATTTCCAGCATTAATACAGAATTCATTTGAAAGTGATAAAAGTGGAAGAAGTACAAGAAAAAAAGCCTTTATTACCTCCCGGGTTTGGAAACAAACAGCTTCTAATGCAGCAAAAGCAATATGGCATTTATTGGTGAACTGAGTAAGCCCACAGATGATCCTAAAAATACACACAAAGATTTTTAAGATTAGAGTGGAGTACACGAGTCATCAATCTGAAATGTCCTGAATATGGAAAGGTTGACCTTGGTAGACAGACAAGGTCAGGGGGAAAATGCACATTAAAAAAAAAACTGGACATAAACACTGAGCAGCTTAGAAAGTTCTTCTGGTCCACAATCTTGCATTCACACAGGAAAAAGTCCAGGATCTAAATGAAAATAAGACAATAATGTAACACCAAATTAAAATTCATCTAGATGATGTCCACTGGACATATGAACGGGCAGAGGCCTTGAAGAAAAAAGATCATTAACACTAACATGGATGTGGCAGGGGCTTATTGTCAGATGATTTCTAACTTCTTGCAATTTAAAGGTTCTGAAATTAATGCTCTCCAAACAGAAAAGGTTTCCTCAACACTTTAAAATCTTTTGAAAATAGACAGGAAACTAGTAGCCAATTAGCTATTAGCTAATTTAGTAAATAAATCAAGACCTGTAAAAGGACACCTCATATTCAACTCTTACCCTCTTGCACTGGGCTCCCAGTAAGGTGCATACAACCCCGAAAACGCGGGGACGAAGTAGCAGCCGTAAGAGGTACCTACTTCTTTAGCAAGTTTTTCTAGTATTAAAAGAGAGAGAGAAATAAAAGTCACTCTAAAATAGTCTATTACTTTAGTCAATAAACACATCTGCATAAAAAATTAGGATCGGGCTTTTGATTTCTTATTCACTAGTACAGCAAAATGTTCCGAATGAAAGACGTAAGCTAGGAGCAACAGAAGCAAACCTCCCCACATTGAACACCTCCCACTACAGTGGAACCCAGGCCAAGAAATAAAGGAACTGGACTCATTTCATTCAGGTATTTTAACTCATTTCCACTATTTCTAAAGTGGCTGACTACGAGGTGAAGTAGCCTCCAGTGCAGCCCCAGTAAGAAGTGTATTTCTGACTTTCACCTTCAGGCTGACGTAAAGAAGTAGATGAAAGAGTGGGGAGAGGTTCAAAAATAATGATCCGTACTAAAAATAGTCATAGGAATAGTTAAACGATAGGCACCAGGGTTTAACTGCTCAGTCTGAGACTTAAAAGTTCTTTCTCATCAGGTAAATGTTAACTGGACTACTTTACCTGCAAACTCTGGCCATCTTCGCTGTTCAAATTATGTGAGTAATTTTTATGCCCTACCTTGCCAGTTTATTAAGAGTCACCACTAATTATATCAATCTGTTGTCTTCTAGATCTTCACAAAATAGTCTTTTATGTATAAATCCAACTCATAATAGGAATCTGTATCATTTAATGTCACACACGGCTCAAAGTACAAGTACTAACAGAGTGCAAAGGTAAAATATTAAAAATTTTCATTCTTTAGATTCTAATGTTTTGTTAGAACATACTCACCGATTTCCTCTGAGGTCTTTATAATTCCAAGATTGTCTCTTAGCCAGCGAATAACAGCACCAGCTATAGCTACAGAACCCTACAAAACAAAAGGAAGCCCAGAGAAAATGTATGTTACTACTGTAAGATTTTTTTGAGCATTTCTTAATGCATGACACTCCAAGATGGATACCATTTAAAAATGTGAACTTTGGTGCCTTGACAAGTATCATAAATGAAGTCTACTAATGCAAACATAGTTTTACCTAGGCCATTAGAGAAGTTTTTTCATGAGAGAGGGAAAAGAAGTGAGCCCTCCAGCACACCCTTGAACCTATCCAATCTGCTGTTCTATGGACTGCTGTCGAACTATGAAGTAGATCATCACCCAGAAAACACTTCTGCCTCATCTCTCGAGTTATCAGGAGAGGCCATATTAAAAGTTTTTTTCAAAAACATTTCCTCTAACAGTATATGATGATGATGATGATGATGATATTGTGTTATTCATCATACACTACATCACTAGTCTTTGATGAAGTTTCCCTGATTCACTGTTTGTGTGTAACACCCAGTGTTCCTCAATCAAGCAACAGCAATAAAAAAAAAAAGTGAGCAAAAAAGCTAACTACAAAGTAATTATTCAACAAAATCACTAAGGGATGGGAAGGTGGGGGAGGAGGCTGTGGCGATAAGGAAGAAAACATACGATTTGGAGTCAGATGAACAGGTTTTGAGTCTAAATGCTAGTTTTTAACTGCTATGTGATCTTAGGCCAATTAGTTAGGTTTAGTGAGCCTCCATTTTATAAACTGTAAAACAGTGGTGACTATCAGAACACATACTTAAACTACTATGAGTCTCAATATGAGCAGAGAGGGGAAGGTTATTAGTGAATGTTAAGTATTAGCTTCATTAGTTTTCTATGTGTTAAAAAAGTATAATCCAAATTCCACTGACTGAAGAACGGACAAATAAATCTAGTATATTCACACAATGGAATATTATTTGGTCATGAGAAGGAAAGAAGCTCTGCTGTAATGTAAACCTTGAAAATATTACATGAAGTGAAAGGAGCCAGTCACAAAAGACCCGTAAGGTACACAATTCCATTTATATGAAAATGTCCGCAATAAGATACCACAGAGACAAAGAATAGATTAGTGGGTGCTTGGAGTTGGGGTGGTGCGGTTATTCTTTGGGGTGATAAAAATGTTCTAATGTTAGACTGTGGTGATGGTTGCATGACTCTGTGTATACTGAAAATCACTGAACTGTAGGCTTTAAAAGGGTGAATCATGTGATATGTGAACTGTATCTCAGAGAAGCTATTATAAAAAGATCCTGGGTGGGGCAAAAAAAAAAAAAAAAGTACCAGGGGCACCCAGGTGGCTCAGTGGGTTAAAGCCTCTGCCTTCAGCTTGGGTCATGATCCCAGAGTCCTGGGATCGAGCCCCGCATTGGGCTCTCTGCTCGGCGTGGAGCCTGCTTCCCCCGCTGTCTGCCTCTCTGCCTACTTGTGATCTCTGTCAAATAAATAAATAAAATCTTTTAAAAAAATAGCTTAAAAAAAGTACCAGAACAAACCATTAGGAATTTCAAAAAAGGTTTTTTGTTTCTGATGTTTCATTCATACAGATTATTAATGTATTACTTCCAGAGTCATCCCAAACCAAATATCAGGTAAGATTAAGTACAGAAAGCAGAATGTTTCTAATCTGTTGCCTATCTCCCTGCCTCCAATTCAATTAACTAAATTACAGATGGCTACCCCTCCTTGCTGTCAACTTCCAGGCTATAAACAAACTAGACGTGGAACATGATGACTCGTTCCAGCATTCATAGCTTCTGTGAGAAGCTATATGTTACTGCAAAGCGGCAGACTGCCACAGTCGTTCTCTTTATACAGCAGCGTTTCGTTTTAGCTATAAAAAAAATTACTGAGGAAGAGATCTGACATCACTGGGCAAATTTAACCAGGTTTTAAAAATGGGGAAAAGAGGGGCGCCTGGGTGGCTCAGTGGGTTAAAGCCTCTGCCTTCGGCTCAGGTCATGATCTCAGGGTCCTGGGATCGAGCCCTCCATCGGGCTCTCTGCTCAGCGGGGAGCCTGCTTCCTCTTCTCTCTCTCTCTGCCTACTTGTGATCTCTCTGTCAAATAAATAAAATCTTTAAAAAAAATGGGGAAAAGAGCCCAATTCAACAAATACCTTGAAGAGACTCTAACCCACTGTCTCTGTGGAGAAGTTTTCAATATACTTCCTAACTTTGATATGTCATATATGTGTGTACTTAGTGGAACCATCAAGGAAAACTAAAGACTTTAGAATTTTCCTCTCAAATTTCCTTTGGAAGCAAACAATTCAAAGACAGTAGCTGTTAAAAACAAATAAATGTGTAAGATTTTCTAGACCAGCATTGTTCAATAGAAATATAATATCAACTACATATGTCATTTAAATTTTGTACCTATCATATTAATAAAGTAAAAGGAGACAAATTAAATAGTAATATATTGTGTTTACTCCAATATATTAATACCATCACTGCAACATGTAATCAATATAAAAATTATTGAGGTATTTGATTTTTTGATACTAAGTCTTTGAAATCAGGAATACATTTACACTTATACCACATCTCAGTTTGGACTAGACACATAATCCTAGCGGCTTACTGTATTGGACAGCACGATTCTAGATCTAATTCAAAAAACAGGTGTCCCTTTCTCCTTGTACTCTCAAAAAGACACTGGGCCTAAACTGTATCTAACCAGGAAATGCAAATATTTTCAGTATTTTTAGGTAAGTAAACTAATGAACTTCAAACAGCTGCTGGGCTACAAGTCTAGTGTAATGGTTTTGTGGTTATCAGCTAGTGGAACTTTATACTTTGGGAAACCAAATACTGACAAACCTCTTTTCCACTGAAAAGGCAGTACGCTATATGCTTAGATACTTTTTTTTTTTTTTTTTTGGAGAGGAAGCAATTTGTTTTGGCAAAAGGTTATCAAGGTTTTCATGAAAAGTAACTGGTCATGAGCCAGAGGGCATCACTTTGATTGAAACAAAAGAAAAAAATATATAAAGCCACTCTCAAGGCTCCAGAAGAAAATTATTTTGAATTTGGTTATCAGGAGTATATAGATAGGAGTGTTTGCCTATAAGCAAAAAAATAAACTCAATGTAAGAAAATAAAAGGTAGATTAAGAACAGTCATCTGAAATAAGAATGTAATTTTGGTACCTGGACATAATACATGGTATTAGCTAGCCTTCTAAACAATTAATAAAAATGAAAGAAACCTCCGAATTCACAAAAGATGTGGTCTTCTGAATTCAGAGGCAGGGAATAAAGTGGAAGATGGTATAATGCTTTCAAGAAGGGCAGGAAAAAAGGGTACAGGAACAGAAGCCTAAAATGATAGACGGTGACAATCTACTGGCTATCAAATAAGTTACCATCGACTACATCCTAAATATTAAGACCCAATACTTCAGTGTCTTGTCTACAAACATGAATGAACTCTCATTCGAAGGCTTGACCCAGGGAAAGGTGCATAAAAAATGAATAGCTGTACTCTAAGAAAGACATAATAGAAATGAGAAGGTGTAAAGAAAAATAAATGAAATGAATAGGACAAGAGGAATAAATAAAAACTAGGGGTGCCTGGGTGGCTCAGTTGGTTATGCATCTGCCTTCAGCTCAGGTCGTGATCTCAGGGTCCTGGGGTGAGGGACACATAGGGCTCCCTGCTTGTGAGGAGTCTGCTTGTCCCTCTCCCTTTGCCCTTCCCCACCCTACTCAGGCTTGCTCTCTCTCTCTCTCTCAAATAAATAAATAAAATCTTTTAAAAAACAACTAAATACATAGCCTGTTAATTGGAAGGCTAAGAAACAGGCTATCAGAAGAGCAGATTAAAAATAATGAAGTAGGGGGCACCTGGGTGGCTCAGTCAGTTAAGCATCTGCCTTCAGCTCAGGTCATGATCTCAGGGATCCTGGGATCGAGTCCCCCATCGGTGGGGAGCCTGCTTCTCTCCTTCTTGCTCCTCCTACTTGTTCACCCTCTCTCTCTCACACACAAATAAATAAAAATCTTTATAAAGATTTTAAATATAAAAAGACTCTCTTTCTCCCTCTCCCTCTGCTCCTCCCCCAAACCCCTGCTTATGCTTGTGCGTGTTCTCTAACAACAACAACAAAAGATAATAAAGTATATCTGATGTAATGTCATGGCAGACAAATATACTTTTCCTCAAGAGCTCTTTGCCATGAACAGTATCCACATAAAGGAAACATCTCAGGATGTGGCGTAGTTGTATGATACAAGGCAGTTATGGTTAAAATCAGTGGGTATGGAGAAAAATTACGTAAAATTAAGATTATCCTCAAATTGCTTAAAATCATCCATTAGGCACAGTAAACATAGCTTTGTGTCTGCGACAGTAATATGCATCTGTGTATATAATTTATACTGTACTTAATTTGTGTTTAAGATTACAAATGCAAAATCTAACTCCATAGCATTTTTAATTACACAGAAGAGAGAACGGAAACCTAGAGTTAAACCGGGGGACCATTATTTTTAAAATGTAATCTATACTATTAATACTTCAGTAACAAGTTAGGAAATTAAGATAAAAAGGATTTACCGCTCAGAAAGTATACTTTCCAGGATATTACATTACAAAAGTCCATGAAGAACGTTTACAGGCTATGGCAGACAATTAAGGTGGCCTCCATGGTCCCCACCTCCTGCCCATGGGGGATCCTCTCTCCTTGAGCGCAGTGGGACTTCAAACTTGCTTCCAATCAACAGCACATCAATGGCGATGGGGGACCCATGATGCAGGACACATGATTAAGCTACAAAGATTACCACGGCTGTTGTATGGACTCTCTCCCTTCCCTGCTAGCTTTGCGAAAAAGTACAGGGGTCCTCTGTTGGGGTCTTCATGTGAGATGAAACTGTGGGTGGCCTCTAGGTGATGAGGGCAGCCTTTGGCTGACAACCAAGAAACTGAAGCCCTCAGTGCTACGACCACAAGGAACTGAACTCAGTCAATATCTGAGTGAGAGGGCCTAGAAGGAGACGGAGCA